TCAGTGGTCATTTTCCTGGTGAACTTGCAAGCCTCAAATATCTGGAATACCTAGATTTATCTTATTTGGGCCTCAAAGGTCGAATTCCCGGAGTCATTGGAAATATGTCCAAATTGAAGTTTTTAAGTCTTAGGGGGAACCATTTTTCTGGTGAGAAAATTGAAGAGTTTTTTTGGAGCTTGTCAAATTATCCAAATAATACAATAGCATTAGAATCACTAGATTTGTCTTATTGTGGGCTGGAAGGCCAACTGCCGGCCTCCTTAGGAATGTTAAAAAGTTTGAAGCATTTATACCTTTCGGGGCTTTTACTTTGGGGTTCAATTCCAGAATCTATTGGAAACTTATCATCCTTGCAAACATTGAGTCTCTTTGGTAGCTATAGGAACGGCTCCATTCCATAAAGTTTGGGAAAACTCTCCGAGCTAGTTACACTAGATCTTTCTTGGAATTCATGTGAAGGCTTTCTAACGGAAGCCCATTTCACAAATCTCACAAGATTAAAAGCTCTTCAAATTTCCAAGGATGAAATAGAGAAGCCCATGTGCCCCATTTTAAACGTGGCTTATGATTGGGTTCCTCCTTTCAAGCTCCACCACCTTTATATAAGTGACTGCAAAGTGGGTCCCGGTTTTTGGATAATGCTTCAATCTCAGACTGAACTAGTAGATGTCATCCTTAGTAATACTTTCATCTCGGATTCCATACCAAAGGAATGGTTGTCAAAGATATCTTCCCAAGTCAAATATTTGGATTTATCTTACAACAACTTCAGTGGAAGGCTTCCATTAGAATTGAAGTTTCCAAACCTACAGTATATCAATTTGGGTCATAATCAATTGGACGGCCCACTTCCACTTTGGCCCACTACTGCCTTCTCCCTTGATCTTCAAAGCAATTTATTTTCCGGTCCAATTCCCTCCAATTTAGACCAGTTGATGCCCAAATTGCAGTTTTTGGAAGTTTCTGAGAATCATTTGAATGGTACTATTCCACTCTCTATTTGCAACATGAAGGATATGTGGGTCCTTTCGCTAAGACACAATCAACTATTTGGAGAATTCCCTCAACAGTGGAGTTTGTGGAGTGGAATAAGCATTATTGATGTCTCACACAACAATCTTTCTGGTAATATTTCGAGTTCAATGGGTATGCCAAGTTCTCTTGAAACATTTAAGGTGAATAATAATAATTTTAGTGGTGAGATTCCTTTTTCCTTACAAAATTGCACTTCT